CAGACTTGGCCAATTCCTGGCAGTTTGCCAGTTTTGAGATAGCTACTTGGAAGCCTTGAAACACAGCCCTAATGACCTTGTAAGAACCCGAATCCCTTGCCACCTTGTAGAGGAAGTTCTTATCGTTAAATGAACACTTTAACCTCTCATTTCCATCAACCCAGTTGGAAGGTACGAGCTCGCAAAGTTGGCTACCCAAACTCGTCACAACACTTTGCCACAATTTCAGATTGTGCAAACGAGTTGATGTAGCTTCTTCAACGAACAACTCTAACTTGGAAAGGAAGCAATTCAAGCACATATCATATTATCATAATAGCATTTAAACGACAATGTCAAAGTCATTATGACTTATGAGAGGTAAAAGCACCCTATAATCTACTAGCCCCGCAACGTCGTCAAAGTCATTATGATTTTTATTCGCATAGCTCAATCCGCGACACCAACAAAAAAACCATACAAGCATATCTAGCAACTGCAATGGAAAGAAAATACCAAGTAAAGTGGCATATGCTTCCAAAATGCGTCTGAGTTCTTCTCAAATGTAAAGTTTACCATCTCCTCAAAGTTTCAGCATTTTCAATGACTTGATGAGATCTTAAATGTGAATGAAAAGAAGCAGTATATATACTATACAGCTTTGATGGTTGTAACACTCTCATACGGAAAAGAACTAAATATGAGATTACCTTTTCATATATCATCTCGAATTCTCGACATAAGTGGCATGCTTGCAAGATGACATGACATTGATTATTGTGCCCTGTTGTTTGCATTTCTTATACTTGTTTCCTGCCAGAGAAAACCAAGAGAAGATAAGTCACTAAATAGTAAATACAGCAACATTTACAATCAATAGCAATGTTGTTAAAACCGAACCAAACATTGATCCGATGTAGCAAGAGGTTCAAGGTTTATCGGCTAACCGTTATACAAACCGGTGATATACAATTTATGGAAAAAAAGTTATAGCTTTATAGTAATTCAAAAAATTAGTACTACTTTTTAATTAAAGAATTCTATATCTCATCTACGTAGGGAGCAAGGCAAAAATTTATCACAAGAGTATAATTTATTGTGTTTGGCCTATTTATTTCCACTTTCCAAATTAAGAGAAGAAGAGGAGAGAAAGAGAATCCAAATATTGAAAAAGAAAAGGGTAGGTGGGTGATGCTACGATTAGGGGAGGGAAACAAGAAGGGTAAGTATTAGTGTGTTATGCATTAAAAACGGGCGCTCTCTCTAAACTTTCTCTATCATCCTTTTCTCTCTCAATTTTCAAATTCTAGATCTGGGTTTCCAGATGCATCCTTCTATGAAGGTGCTTTTTCTGCCTCCTTAGTGATCATAGTGGAGAAGAGGTTTATGATTATTGCTGTGCCATCAATGAAGGAGTTGGGAAGTCTTTTTATGAGTAAATGCTCTCATGGCCAGATTCAATCTTCCTCAGATCTTCTTCTTGCCACATTTACTACCTTATCAACCACCAACTGTTTCGGAAATGATGAAAGCCCCAATCCTTCATTCATTTCTCCCAACAACCGAGACCCAGAGAACCTATTCCCCTCTTCAATGCATTCTGGCCCCAACCCATATATATCTCCCTGTTGCTAGAAGCTAAACTGGAAAACATTAATCCCAGTCTTTTCAAACCTCCAATACCCAAGAACATAGTATCCCTCTCAAGTGAAATCATCGAGCCACGGGAAATGGAAATAGCTGTCTACAATGGAGTTATGATGATTCGACTCCATCAATCCCACATCTCACCTAAACTCCTCCCCTTTACTAAGCCCCCTGAGAAATCTGGAAACTGCCGCTGCCCTATAACTAAGCTGAGCAAGAGCTTGTTTGCTTACCTCTTCACAGATCTAAAAACTTCACAAAGCTCTGCTCCCTCTAAAATCAGACAACCTTTCCGGCAAATGGAGAACCAAACTGGAGACGCTCTTGCAAATCAATACAAAGAATGGGATGATGAGGATCTTGCTGTCATCTTCACCGATGAAGTTCCAGAGTGTGAGGGAGGGTCTCGGTTGC